TACAGTATGCTGCTGAGAAGATACTGGAAACTGCGAGGAAGAAGTGATGAAAGGAAGGGAGATTTATATATTTTTTAGCATTTCTTCACACCATAACTTTAGACTTTTTCAGGTATTTCCAGCGGCTTCCTAGAAAAACACCTTCTCCTCATCCAGATACATTCCATTCACTTACTTTAAAAACTACCGTGCTAGGAAAAATAAGGGTAAGTGCTGACAGTAGTTTGCTGATTGCAATTTGAAAGGTCCAAGTTTAAAGAAGTCTTGTGAATGCTATCACAATGATTCTTAACTTACATCTGATAGACTGTGGTTCAAATACTAATTCTATGCCTTCCTTCTTTTAATCACCGTTACTGAAGCGTAATTACCATGACTGCCAACTTACCCTTCAAAATTTAAAAACTGAAAAGCCTTGTGTTAGTTAAATGCATTACCTGTCTGGTTGTAATGCATCCAGTTCAGCATGATCTCAGGAGCCCTGTACCACCGGGTAGCCACATACCCGGTCATCTCATCATCTGTGTGTCGGGCCAAGCCAAAATCCAGGATCTACAGAACAGAAAAGGCATCCACTAACTACTGCAGTGGAACAATGCAAACCAGTTAGAGAAAATAATTAGGCAGTCATTGGATTGGGTGGAGGAGAGGTGGTGCAACTGCAAAAGCAGATTATGAAGCTAAATTTCACAACCTGTTAGAAGACACTAGCCTAGAACAGCATAGGACTCAATCAGAATTATGTCTGGCTATCTTCTCGCTAAAACAACTAAACCCAAACTAAAGCCGTTAACTCTTCGCTTTCATGATGATTCATTAAAAATACATGAACAGATACAGAAAAAAACATCTTTACAGCCCTTTACAGCTGGGAAGGACATTATTACTTTGAGCCACAAAAGTATTTCCATAAGGAATTATTTTGTCCCTTTAATTCCAAGGGACAACCACAAGGCATTCACTCAAATCACAGTCAAACCAATCAGACCTTGTGATTACATTACCTTTAGCTCACAGTCTTCATTTACAGCTAGGTTACTAGGTTTTAAATCCTACAAAATTAAACAACATCAGCATTAACAGCAGTACATGTTGTTTCATAAGTCTAAAGTAGATAAAAATGTAAATACAGATTGAAAATAGATTCTAACTGGCTGTAAACATCAACTCTCCGTACTTGGGAAAATTATTTTATCCCAGAGTCAGATATCTCCTCTGTGGTCCTCAGAGGTGTCATGTATAAGTAAAAAGACATAAAGGCTTATATGTATACCAGTGCTGTTGATGTATATCTAACAAATAGAGAACCTATTTCACAAAGATACAAGTCAAACATAGGCAGGAACAGGAACTACAGATCTCGACAACCATTTCCCATGTTTAACTGAAATAATTCTCAGAAGATTTCTTCTTGTTTCTATAGGTGCTACACTCTAAGATTCTGTGTTACATTTTTTAAAGACATTGATTCAGTACAGGAAGCAACCTTAGGATAAATACTCACCCTGTGTATTATGTCAGCTGAATGGATGTACTGTAAGGCAAGATGACAAATTTTATATAACAGTCCAAGTAGCTCCTTTTCTTCACCAGACAATACCGCCCTACCCCATCCTACACAATTCAAATGCTATAGCTTGTCTGCAGAAGGAATCGAGTGTGTGTCTATGGGTTTCAAGTAGGTAGGTGTTTCACTTTGTCTCTTCTTAGGAACACCCAGGAGCACTGCCACCACGACTGGAATACCACAAGTAAACAAAACTGGAAATGGAACATTCACAGTCAGGGCAGATTAGAGGGCAGCATACTTCATAATTGTCCAGACTCTGCCCATAAGAACATACAGAAATATCTTCTTAGGGGATACATAGCTTTACCAATGCAGAGCTCCAAAGAGGCATGAAGGGAAGGAATAATAATAAAATATCCTACGATATGTTAGGAAAGTTGCAGAAGCACTACTATGTACTCATATGAATCTCTGAGGATATGACGTTCACCAAGAACTTCCACCTCCCATTGATGAGCTATCAACATTCAAGTAGAACAGGTGCGAGTACCTTCAGTCCTCGAAGAATTTGGTATATAAGGAACTGCACGTGGTCATCTGTGAGTTTCTGGCATTTCACAATGTTGTTCAGATCTGCTCCCATAAGGTGTGTCACCAAGTACCTATGGACAAAAGGAAACACATAGGCTATGAAGCAATCCCTTTAACAGGATTAGGATAAAAATTCCCTGCAAAGCTCCAGTAGCAGGGCTGACTGTCCCAAAGCGTGTTGCTGAATGAAATACAGTTCATGGCACTTCAAATAATATAGCAGATTAGTACACCGATTCCTATAGCGCTGGTCAATAAAACACAAGTGAACAAGTTTGAAGAGTCCAGTAGTTTAGGATGTCCTAGTATCTCTTGTGTTGGAATTCAGAATTGTTTGAGAATGATGGCAGACAAATTAAGACGGCAAATATTTCTGTAATAATCTGGGAGATGTAAGGAAGATACAAAAGATTTTTGTTGCAGTCTTCAGAGAAGTTACCTACACATCATTGAATTCTTCTAGTGACTTGGCAGGGGTGAACACATCCAACAAACCAATCACCTAGGAAGAAAACAGTAAAGTGAAAACAGGGTGAAATACATTCATAGTATAATATGATACAGTTAATAAGATCCCTTGTGGAACAGAAACTACTCATTCCAGTAGATGTTTCATTTCCAACTACATGAATCATTCAGATGTAGACAAATTAGTATTCATATATGATCAGAAACAAACATTCAATTCTTGTGCAAAAAAAATATTAAGATTAAAAATATACAGCTGTCTCTTCACACCAGCCATCTACTTAAAGCATCAAATGGGAGCCTTAACAAAAGGCAGGCGTAAACACTGGTTTAGAATACCTTATTTCAAAAGACAACTAAAGTTTGTTCAGGAAATAAACGGATGAGAAAAAACAAAACAACAACCACCAGACAAAACTGTTTGCGTCCTGCTCAATTCTTAGTTATACTGTTGACTACATACTAAAATAAGAATTGGGAGACTACATTTCTTCCACTTGTACTGAGTAATGGCTGGAGAAATTCAAGGATCTGTAACACAAGCAATGAATAATAATGACTACAGTAGAAAATAAGTCAGGAAGACAGTGCAACACAATGAGGAACCAATTTTCACAAACAGCTTCACACTGTCATTTGTGAAAAAGAGCAAAGAGTGTCTGCTCAAAGAGCAGGTACTCCACCTTACGTTTTACAGCTGAGCTGTTCTAACAGTAGAGAGTAAAAGGATATGCATGTGTTACCTTGTGGAAAAGAATAACTATACCTTATTATCCCATAATTATCTTCTAGATCATTTATAGCAGTTTAAAAAAATCCATCTGGTTGATGAAGACCGTTCTAATTTTCACTGGAATGTGCTTTTAAACCTTATTTTCCTTCTCTTAATAGCAAATAATATTTTTTTGTAAATATTTTAAAATTTAAAAAAAAAGTTATCAGTATATGATATAAAAGGACAGGTTCTCTTCATCCACCTCCAAAAAAATCCTCTTTCCTTTTTAAGTCAGCATCTCACCTGTCTCAGATACACAAGCATCACGCACACTTCAGCAACTTCAGTAACGGTTCAAGTGTGCATATGAAACCAAGAGTTAGATTCCTGTGTTCCCCTTCACACCATCCTTTTTTCAGAATCAATTGAGTTATCTCTAAGCAGAGAATTAAAGACAAAATCTTTGAGGAACCTAGACTATGTTTTTGGGAAAGAGAGCAAGTGGGTAGGAAATAAAAGCCTCTGTCTAATCTATATTATAGATTATACATGGCATTGTATTGAGGAAACTGGAGAGAACGCTTTTCTGTCTCTCTTGATATACATCGCAGCAACTCCATTTCTAGACAGACATCTTCTTCAAACTCTAACATTTACATCCATCCTGTATAATAATTCTCATGCTTACAGTTTCTTTCTCCAGTGGACTCTTCCGTATCAGTTTTTATAGAAAAAAAAAAAAAATCAACATTATCCACACAGTTTAGCATGGAAAGACAAAAACTGACTTTGCTATCTAGCCTTCAGGTTTTTTTTCATTTATCATTTTTATCTTCTACACTGTAAAGCACAGTGTCAAACTATCTGTATCTTTCATTGAGTTTCACAAACACTATACAGTTTTTCTGCAGTGCATCACTGAGTCGCTTCTAAGAAAGCGTGAACACCAGTTCAGAACCCAACCCCTCACCTTTTGCTTTCCCCTCCCAGCATTTTAGGATGTCACAAAGCTTATTAATCTCTTCATATGACAACAAACCCATTTGCTCTCCCATCTGCTCAGTTATGTGCTTTATGCAAGCTAACACGGCCTCCTGCAACTTGAAAAATATAATGCAGACACACTCGAGTGCTCTGCAGGTCCATTTATTTGCTCAAGATCATCATGATCAGACTAGATACAGGATATAGAATACTATCCCATGCTCAAGCCCCTTAAACCACCACACCTACCAGGTTTGCTGGTGTGTTTTGCACCATGTAAAATCAAATCTTTTACTTCTGAACTGAGATCTGAATAGTCAACATGCTAGCACTAGTATGCCTGCCTGAACTGGCTCTGAACATTTCTGCATCTGCAGGATTTTTAAACCACAACCCTAAACTTCCCACAGACAGACGACGGTACAATGAACTGATAATAAATGTTTCTATACATAAACAACTTAATTTCCTTTTGTCCCTTACTCTCAAATCTACATAGGCTCTTTGTGATAGTAATCAAAAAATATTAATGAATGCCAGAAGTAGAACTGGTGTAGCACCAGTCACAATCTAGTTTTCATTGCTTAATCTTATTAGCTTAGATAAAATGGATTGATATGCTATTTTTTTTTTCCCCTAACAGATCTTCAAAGCTTTCCTGTTTGGAGAATATCTCAGCTATGAGAAAAGATGCAGAAAAAACTCCAAGGGATGGATATTAAGCAGGATCAAATGCTACCTCTCCTGTTGAGACAATGGTATTGTACAGAGGCACTGAGGAAGTATTGTTGACAACAGTACATATATGCATCAAAAGTTCCAATTATGTTAGCCACACTAAAAACGCCACGAAGATTTACGAGATACCAGCTGCTGCCTGCAGTGGTTACGAGCCACAACACACAACCACCACTGCCACAACAGAAGTCCTGAACAGACCTTCCAAGGAGAACCTTCCAACAAAATTAGGCTTGTTTGGCTTTTTGTACTAGATAAAGGTCCTAGATTTGCTTAGCCCACTTCCAAAACCGTATTTCCCTTCTGCTAAGCTGGAGTTTGCTTGGACAAAAGAAATCAAGAGCCTTCCTTTCCTCTTGACATTCTGACAGCTCTACAGAGGGCAGGTTATGAGACTTGCTGTTCCATTGCCATGTAATATTTGCTCCAAACAGCAGGCAATATAAATATGTTGGTGTGTTAATACCACAAACGCACAGAACTGTTCAACCAACTGTTTTCTACGCCAAATGGACGTTATATCGAAAAACGGTTAGACAGTATATACCATAGTTCAACATAACATTTGTCACATCCTATTTTGTTTCCCTGTTGATGATTTAAGTGGATGGCTTGTACAAAAAGTCATCTGATTCACACACACAAACACACTTTCTTCCTCCCTATTTTACCTACAGGAATCTAGCAAACATCTACTCCACACCCTTCTGAGATAGGCAAGCTAAAAGAAACAAATATGAAAAACCCTCCAGAAGACACTGAAAACGAACTTTGAGATTCTCTTTTGTGTTTTTTTTCCTTTTGTTTTTGTTTTTTTAATAGATTCTTCACATAATGAAAATTACAGCTTACTACAGCAAGGGAGCAGGAAAATGCAAGTGACATCACCTGTGTCCTAAATGCTTAAGACAGCACGAACCTGCTCAGCAGTAATTTCCAGATTATTCTAGGAAATATGAAGACTTTTTAATACAAAAATTTCAGTTTTTATAGACTTTTTTTTTTTTTTTTTTTTTTTTTTTTTTTTTCTTTTTTTTTATCTGCATGCTTTTCTACAACCATAATCCCTTGGACTACTGCAGGCTTCATATTTGTATTAGAAAAATGTATGCAACAAGATCCTTAAATGCAATCATGCTGGATGCTCACTGAACAGTCCGACTTTAGATCAACTTTTCATACCATCTCCTTTCACTTACATTTTCGTGTTTCATGTGCTTAAGTAGCCGTAGCTCTCGGTAGGTCCTTTTGGCATGGATGATAGACTGAAATGGTCGGGACAGCTTCTTTACAGCCACACGCAACCCCGTTTTTGTGTCAAAGGCAGAACTACAATAAAGAGTAATCAAATTATCAAAAAGAATTCTTTATAAACACCTTCAAATCCACACTTAGCAACTCCAGATAGCAACTATCTGGATACCGAGTCACAGTCAACGCCATTCCTCCACTTCTGCAATGAAAATAATTTCTAGGCATCCTGGTCGACAACCTGCACCCCCACCCAAAATCCCCACCTATTCACACAATTCTTAATTTCTACAGAAAATGTTTACAAGATGAGCCTTGTTCACACAGTAAAGGGAAACTTTGTAGAAAAGAAAGAAATGTTTATGATTTTTCTGTCTAAAACCAGTTGTACTCAAACATAAATATGGCAACAAAACTCTGGAGAGAGGAAGAGTACTTGCAAATATTATCTGTATTCCTGAACATATTTTCATACACCACACTTCATCACAAAACGCTATGCTCAAAATACTGTCTCTTACAGTTTAAGTCCAAACAAAAAATCCAAGGCCTGTGCCTAATAAAATCAACTATGATGGCTGTTAATCACAACTGAAGCTGAAGTCAAACCTCTTTGGTAAATCGCATCTAATGCTCAACTCCTGTTATACAAAAATGCATGTGAATAAATGATATTTAGCTGTACATTACTGAAACTTGTCCCTTTAGCAGAAACTTACACATAATGCTTGTACATATAAATAATGTTTCTTCTTAGAACCCATAAAGACTAACTCCATCCTATTTGGTAACTTCATATATATAGTTGATGTTTTGTACTGTAAAATCATCTTTTGACGTAAGTCTTATCACAACCTTTTTATTTATAATATTAAGAAGCAAAAGCCTGATACTTTTGAAACAAGCAAAAATTTAACACATGAAGAACTATGTTAAATTTCTCATACACTGCATAAAATCTTCCAGAACTTAGGGCTTACATGTGAGGAACTAAAGAAATGTAGGTATTTAGCTGTGAACTAAATTTCTCCTCCTTCTTCTCTTTGATGTTCTTACCTAAAACAGCTCTGGTTTCTCAAAAAGGAAGGAGGAAGAGAAACAGAGGATGTGAAATCAATGTTACACTCGATTCAAGATAACAAACATGGGGAAAGTATAGATGGAGAAAGTCAGTGAAGGACAATATTTGTCTATTTTCCTGCTGCATTTTGATTCAGGGTGAGCTCTTGATTCCATTTAAAAGTGAGTACGCACTAGTTCTTGATAAACATCAAGTGAAACTTCGTGTGTCCAAAGAAGGGCAACAAAGCTGGTAAAGGGTCTGGAGAACAAGTCTTATGAGGAGCGGCTGAGGGAGCTTGGGTTGTTTAGTTTGGAGAAGAGGAGGCTGAGGGGAGACCTTATCGCTCTCTACAACTACCCGAAAGGAGGCTGTAGTGAGGTGGAGGTCAGTCTCTTCTCCCAAGTAACAAGTGACAGGACAAGATGAAGTGGGCTCAAGTTGTGCCAGGGGAGATTTACATTAGCTATTAGGAAAAATTTCTTCACAGAGAGAGTGGTTAGGCATTGCAACAGACTGCCCAGGGAACTGGTACAATCACAGTCCCTAGAAGTATTCAAAAAATGTGTGGATGTGGTGCTTAGGGACACGGTTTAGAGGTAGACCAGGCAGTTAGGTTAGCAGGTTGGACTCGATGATCTCAGAGGTCCTTTCCAACCTTAACGATTCTATGATTCTATGAAAAGGAAAGCTATACATTTGCAAATGTAAAGTGTGAAGCAGCTTAACTAACAGAAAGTTCAAAACCAAATCACAAAAGTAGTCCTAGAACAAAACCCCAACTTACCCCCCAACTCTGCCAAAGAACCTATCTGAAATAACTGTACTTGTCATTTATTTTTGAAGCTACTAACCAGAATTAACTTGCAAAAAGACTCCGTATCACAAAGTTGCTCAGTTTCCAAGGAACTTGCTACATGAGGTTTATGAGAAATAGAAAACAAAATACAAGCTTGTTTCTATGAACAGCAAACATTCTCTTGCAGGACCCAGGGGAAGGAAAAAACCCACTGTGCACGATGAAAGAGTATCTCCTTCTCTATAAAGGGACACCTGCATACACACACGGGAAAGAGCTCTCTGGAAAAGATACAAACATACAGCTAGACAGAAGATCACAGGAACAGCAAACTGTCATAGCTGAACTACTCAAGCTACACCATACTGTCTCAAAGAATGCCCGTTTTCAACCACTTCCGCACATGAGTTATCCTTTACACCTCACTCAGCCTGGGCAGACAAAAGAATCGATCAAGCATTCATTTTTTAATCTTGATTTCAAATGATCTTCAGCAACTCTTCACATACCACTACAATATCGATATTTAAGCTGCAACACTTCAGGAAACAGAATTCAAATTTTTCTAAGCTTCACATACACCATTTTGCAATATACAAACATACCTAATTCAGGCTGTAATTATATGACAATATTTTAACGATACTCAAGGTGTTTTCTAGGACTTAAAGCAAAAATAAGATTAGTCATCATAATTCAACACATGCTATTGTGAATTAGTCATGAATCTTTACCAGCTTTCAAACATTTTGGGTACAAAGGCAGCATATACCAGTATCTCTTTCATCTTGAAAAGGGGATCCCCTGCACATTAACCACCTTCACAGCTACATAGTCATATTTTTCTCTTGGTTTCCACAAGATTCTCTTTAGAGATTTCAGAGCCACCAGAGATAACATAAGCCATTTCAGAGTCCAAAGGAAATTCAATTTCACCTTCTTTTTAATGGCATTTTTAATGACACCAAGTCATTGCTCTGCCGTAGTAGATGTAAAACCTCCAAGGAGAATTGCAATCGGCAGAACTGAGAAACTGTTTAACCAGCATGACGACACTGTGCACAAGCCCAGGAAAGAAAATTTTGTATTACTGCACATTCACAATCTAGAGTTACTCTTGAAGTCAGAAGAATTCTAGAGTTCAGTCACATTTGAGGCCTAAAGACTATTTCTCTACAGATAAAGGCATGCTGAGTAATTTTCTGACAATACAGGTAACTGCCTAACGGTTTTCACGAGTACGGAACACAGCTACACAACAGCTGTCATGTTGGAGAACATTTTAAAGAACACCAAGCTGGCTTTCATCAGACTTAAAACAGCTGCATTACACTGATCATATTTCAGCTAAAAAAGCCCAATTGGGAAAAAAAATTGCATGATCCACAGTTTTAAATCCCTTTCGAAACAAGATCAGCACAACATCAGAATTTATCACAGCTTCCACATTTTTTAACCTCTTACATAGTATTGTGCTGTGGCACACGAACTGCATCCACCTCAACCTGAGTGAGCTAAAACTACAATTCTGATCTAACCTGAATTGAATCCAGAACATAAGAGCTAGAACAAAACAATTATTTTAGAGAACCTATCCACTAATGCAACTTATATCTATATCTAACATTTGAAGTAGTCTGAGGAACTGAATTACATACAAAATTATTTAAGAGTGCAATTTATTTATATTTGAATTGATTCACACACACACAAAATATGCATATAAAGGTACCTGTTAAAAATTCCCCTCGAGCTAAGTGAAATACTCACTTCAAATGATTGTCTCAATGGGCGAAGGTCAAGCCTCAAGGGGGGCCCCTGGAGTTCAGCCCAGGTCCTGTCGTCAGGCCTCTGTACTCTGCAAACTTAATTAAGAGTTCGCAAACTCTGAGACACGTCCCACTCAGAAGATGCTGGCACAGCCTGCTGTGGTCCAGGAGAGCTCACAGGGTCTCCCTTGGTATCGCTCTTTTATAGGGTCGCAAGATGACTGACTTTAGGCATTAGTAAGTTTCCATCCTGTCGTCACAATCTGGGTCAGTAATTACTGCAGTTCTCAAAAATTCCAGTGACACTGGTGCAGATCCACCCATACTGATCCGCCCGAGTTACAACCCAGATAAGGTATGTTCCAAGGCTGTCAGGGGGCGACTGATCATTCCTGGTACGGTCAGTGCTACTCCCACCTTAGCAGGAGATGCACGACCACACCATCTCCTACTCGATCCCCGTTCCTCACACGTGTTCTGCTAATCCTACCTGTACGGCTGCTTCATCCCACGCACAGGTTTACAGTTCTTTTCATATCACTCCTCACATTACCTACCACACCTTACTGGAGAAGCAGGCACCTGTCCCCCCAAGCGCACACGTACTTTGGAGGCGCTTGCACACTTTGATATGGGATTAGTAAGCTTAAAGACATACATTGGTTAAAAAAAAAAAATCCACAGAGGAATTGTGACTATAAAGGTGATATTTAGGATTGTTACTTCATTTCCTCTGGAGCCTAATGTTTTAAAATTTCTTAAATCCATAGTATTTCTCTGTTAATTTAAAAAGAGGGGAATTATCTCAGTATCTTCTTAATACCCAGGAAATTCAGAGTCAGTGTTGGTACAACTGTGAGGTAAAACAGGAAGAAATCACAGGTTTTGGAAGGGCTATATGACCCGACAGTCTACAACAAAAAAAGCTAAAAGATTCTTATGCAAGATTCTGAGGAAGAGTAAGACTTGGCTGTTCAATTCCTTTCCAAATTAAATGAAGCAATACAGATAGTCTGCAAAGCAATTAAACCAAAACCCTTCTCTTACAAAGGTATCAATACAACACACAAAGAACTGCTGCAAAAAATACAACAACAAAGTAAACTCCTAAGAGTATACCGAGTCTGCCTTCACAGCATTTTAGAAACTGCTGGCAAAGATCATCAAAACACCTCTTTGCTTAGCTTAAAGCCGGCTGAGCTAATGCCGTTTGCTGAGACTTCCCTCCAGCACATACAAGAAACGAAGCAATCCTCCAGCTAAATTGTGAGTCACCAATCAATCCCATCTCCATTCAGCAACTTCCCACTGCAAGATGCTGCAATATCTAGGCCCCTCTCCTCCTTACATGAAGTATTGCAAGACTGATACTTCAGGAACCCACATGTGTTTTAATGCAGACTTGGTTACAAAATCCTTTTCATGCAAAAGACTATGTTGTATGAATATACAAAACTGTTGCAAGAATAAATGAAATAGCATTTCACACAACAGATGTCACAGCAATTGTTACATGACTTAGTAATGAACAATCTGAGGATACATCTCGATGTTTCTCAAAGTT